CCTCCATCTCCCACACATGTTTATTGACACGACAAATCTTTGCAAAATCTTTCCCCAGCTCCCAAGTTTAATTTAAACGCGGAAGTAAGTAACCTTTATTTAAACACGATAAGCAATTAAGCTTGCAGCTTGTGGGGTCGTGTGTAAATAAACAATAGAGAATAATTACAAAATAAGAATTAAAAAATTTACAATGTAAGATCTAATCTAGTCGTCGCGCAAATTGTTTGCGCTTTCGTCTTGCATGACAGCAAAGGTCTTACTTCATCAAACATGGCTGCTATGAAGACAAGAGTTGCCTGTTGTACCCTAAAGACATAAGGACGAATTAAAGCGATGGAGCAACAACCAGCCTGAATTAAACACTGGATGTCTTCACTTTGGGTGGGGAAAAACTTCGCATCATCCAATGGGCATCGGAAATCATTCGCAGAAAAAGGCCGTCTTCTCATAGCAAACACAGGTATGAAAACAAGAGTAATAAGGTTCCCTTCATATGAGCCCGGTAACCAGGCTGGGACTAATATTGTGGTCTGTTCATATGGGAAATTTCAGCCCGGTCGACCGGGATGAAATCAAGGAACACAACCAAAATGGTGGAACATAAACTTGTATTGTTCGCGACTGTCGTAGCTTTGTGGACTCTTGTAACTTTACTGATAAAGCTAACTCGCACGACAAAAATTGTGCCATTTTGGCCGCTATGTTGCGAAAGCGAAGCGATTTTGTCCAAAAATTATAGTTTCGTCCCGGTCACCCGGGCTGGAGTGTTCATATGAGAAAATTTTCATCCCGGTCATACATCCCGGTCACCGAAATCTCGGTCGCAAAATCCGAGATCTCGGTAACCGGGCCAGCCCGGCCTCTCATATGAACACGTCGAAAGTTTTACGAAGGAAAAAGTGGCGAGGCGAGATCTCGGAAACCGAGCCAGCCCGGTTGAATGGGCTCATATGGTCCATATGAAGAGGCCCTAAGAAGTTATTCTGCAAAATTATATTCAACATTTGCAGATCCAGTCTCGGCAATTCGACCCGTCACGGATTAAACATTGAAATGTCTTCGCTTTCCGTACAAAAATGATCGAGGGCCAATATTCCCCAACGAAAACACCCTTTTCTTTAGATATATAAGCTTAGAATGAACGGATGAAGAAGCGAATATCTCTTAAGCTAGAATATTCCCTCGGACCGTATTTGGTTTCGTTTTGCTTTGTTTTCAGCGTGGAATATATTCAGCAAGAATCTGTCCTGTAGGCTTCTTTGTCAAAACCTGTATCAATGAAGACTTGACTGAAGCACAAAACACTGATCGCGCAGGCAAAGCCCAGCGAAAATGCTCGTACATCAAAAATAATACCCAGACCAGGCTTAATATGTCAACGAACGAACGGAAAAATTTGTCAATGAATTAAGTATTGTCGAACCTAAGGCGTTTTTATAAAAGGCTCCACGTAAAAAACGAAAACTGTATAACCGTATGAGGCATAATAGACCTTATCACCGTTTTCCTCACCATCTTGACGGGTAGGCAAAGCGGTCAGAAATTACAGTGTTTGTATGGGAATCCGATGGCAAACAACTTTCTCCTAAATTGAATTTTACACAATTTGTGAATCGCAACGTTAAAATACTAGGTAGACGATTGTATTCACCAAGTTTGGAGGACGTAGCTTGGTTAAAATACGCCACCTTACATTACTCATTTCGCATTTGTAAACATTGTAAAAAATACGAAATATTTGTAGATAACAAGTCGCGGTATAGTTTGCCGTGCCTGACTTGTGGTTATATTACTAGTACGGCTTTCAAGAAATGTGTGGATTTTCTCCATGCATGAAAATACGAATTTCTGAGTTGTTGTGCAGCTTTGGCTCGATTTGGCCACTACATGTACTAATTTTCATTTTCCGACTTCCATTGCTATATAGGTTTGGGATAAGGCTGGGAAGATCCAAAATTTCCGGGGGAATTATAGTTTTCTAAAGACTATGCTATGCTATTCCGTATTGTATTCGTCATCACGTATTTTACTATTTATATCCGTGCCAAACATGCAATGGAAGAAATTGAATGGTCTGCTAATGGGGCACCGCGAGACTTCGTTAACTTGTTTTGGGATCAAATCTGTTAAATTTGCCACGACTTTG